GGTATGTGGGGGTCTGAGCGGCTCCCACAGAGAAATAATCTTTGAAGGCAGGATGGTAATCTGGATGAACTGATGGTAAGAGTGAATTAAATAAATTGCCAATTTTGAGCTAATTAAAAAAATCCTGAATGCTATATTTCACTCAGTTACACGGTAAAATAAAGTAAAACTTAAAATAAATAAAAGAGTTCTATGCGCACAATGTTCTGTGATTCAATGGCGATTTTAGGTTTTATTGTGATATGGTTTACTGTCAGTTCTGTGTTCAACTGTTGATAAGATTGAGGAAAAACAATCCCATTTTTTTAATGAAGAACAATTTTTGGAATCCTGCAGGGAAGATTTTATGGATCTCCAAATTCTCCATAAAGCTTTTCTGGAGACAGAAATATGTAAACTTTGTTCCCACTGCATCTCTGACAGCAGCTAATGAGCAGGTGAAGGTAGGAAGGCGTTAGCAGGGTGCTACCTTTTCAATCTGCTTTTGCTTGTTTAGCTCCTCCTGCTGTTTCTCTTTGGCCTTGTCTTCCTCCTTCTTCTTTTCCACCGCTTTACGGTCCTAAACCACAACAAAATTGCAACAGAACTGAGCCGCCTATATCAGACAAGGGAACAAGCCGTAATGGACTCCGAATCAGGCTCACCATCTCTGAGTGGAAAGCTATCTGCTTGGCCAAACCGATGCTATCGCAGATCTAAAACAGAACCAAGACATTTGGGTCAGAGACAGCAGAGGCTGTGATGACAGCGGGACAAACAGAAGCTCCACCTTCTCGCCGTCGTTGTTGGACTCAAAGATGTAGCAGACGACTCGAGTGTCCCCTCGCCCGCCTGACGCCTGCAAAACGAAACCAAACAGCCGCTTGTTGTCCTGATGGGACGAACACTGGACCACGCTGGGCAGCGGGAACTGCGGCGAGCCAGAGGACACAGTCAGCAAAGATCGGCTACTCAAGCTAGTACAGATGCAAAGAGAAAAAGTGGGGCCATCTCACCCTGAGTCGAGTGACCTGCGTCTGAGGATCAATCAGTCTGGAAAACAAAACGATTATCTTGGGGAGGAAATAAAATAGCTGAAAAAATTATTAATCAATCAGAAGAAACATCCTTTTTTCCCTAAAGCTCGAAACCTGGAAGTTTACTTCTAACATCGACTTGAAATTCATGTTTTAACAATTAGGATGTTCCAAAGAAATAAAAAAAAAAAAAAAACAATCCACTAGACTTTGTTTCTAACTTTGAAGACGTTTCTTTTCCATCCAGGAAGCTTTTTCAATTCAAAATTTCAGAAATAGCGTTTAGTTCCAGGCTTTATAGAGTGGACCAAACCAAAGCCTTGTTTTGGCTTAAAAACATGCAAACTGAACCTGCTGCTAAATCACACTGACCCTGATTCTGATAGAAGTTTCTTGTTAAAAGGGAGTTTTTCTCTCCACTGTTGCAGCATGTATGCTCTGTGTGAGTGATTGCTGTAGAGTGAAACACAAAGCAGGCGAATATCTATTGTCTCTACAAGCTCATCCAGGAGCAGTGAATCCTGCAAGTCGACCAGTCAATCAACCTCAGGGGAAAGGCTTTCAATTGGCACTATAGAAATAAACTGAGGTCTTAAGGTGGGTTCAGACCGAACCAGTGTTGTTTTCGTCAATAATGACGATGACCAAATCATTTCGTTGACGATAACAAACACTGACAAGCTAAACGGGGACCTTTGATGACTAAAACCTGACTAGTCATTGGTAGCAGCAGCAGAGCTAAGAAAATGAAAAACTATCCAGTGCTGCACGCTGAACTCTGACCAACTCTGATCCTCCAGCTGTGCTCGTGCAGAAATGCGTCTTTGCGCTCATAGCTCAGAGTCTGCGCTTCACGCTACACTCTGATGGTTCGCTCTCAGCACTACGGCTCTTCCTGCTCTCACTACTTAATAAACTAAATATGGCTGATCATCCTCTGCCAAGCATAAAAAAATCCCTTTACTATCAAGATTTTATTCCTTCCAGCTCACAGGAAAACATTCTTTTATTTCTACCAAAAGGAATCCCTAAATTATATCCAAGGCAAATATTTCATTGAATTCTGTTTATTTTTGGATAAAGATCCAGATGAAAAGGTTCATAGATCTTTGAATATTTCTCTCTAAATGTTCTTGTTTCTATCTATTTATATATGATGTAAATATTTCCTTGTATTGTCATTAAAACATTTTATTGCTTTATTATTGGGAGTGTTGCTTTATTACTTGAGGCAGTCGCAGGTGACGAGCAGGTGAGACTCTGTCATCCTGAAGATGTTGTGGATGGCTCTGGCAGCCAGGATCTGCCTCATGGTCTCAGAGATGACGTCTGCAGACTCGGATGTCTTCACCTCCATCGACCCGAGGAACCGCACGATAAACAGCTGGTGGAGGATCGAATCTGGATCAAAAAACGAAGGGTTAAGTATAAACACCCGCGTTTCACATCTGAATCATCTCTATCACCAACATACAATCACACAAAGGATCAGAGTTCACATTTTATGATAGTTGAACTGAGAATAGGAAAACAGTTTTACATCCTGGGGCGGGTTTTCCTCTGGCGGTTGGAGCTGAGGCGCATTTATATTGGTTTGTAGAAACGTAAGCAATGTTTATGTTGAACGAGAGCGAGCATTTGTGCTGAAGTGAAGAGAATTGACTGGTAAATCACAATTTGAAAAGAATGCAGTTTGTTAAACGTAATCTGAAAATTTTAACATCTGTGAAAAACTTTCACTGGCATAGTAACTAAAGAAGGTGCAAAGCAGGAGGAAAACGTGCATTAAGAAGAATGAACAATATATACATACATAT